GCTTTTATTAGTTTAAATGCTACTTGCAGTGAGGCCGAGTAGACATATTCATTTAATACCCAAGTCCAAACTAATGGTCTAGCCGCATACACTTGTAGGCTTTATGGGCATGAGATGTCTTTGGCAGAGTGGCACGAGACATCAGATGCAATTGTTCCGTGATGAATGACCTACGATCTGATAAGTCTTCACTTAACTGCACAAACTCGGTAAAACTGCAACCTGTTTGGACGCGCGCGGCATTTTAGTCGCATTATCAGAAATACTAAGAGCTTATGGGGTCAGCTAAAGTCATCTATTCGTAAGTTGGGCTGTTTTAGTGTACCCGTAATGCTGACAGTAACGACTTTGGGCCTGAAGTCAGGATTACTTTGTTGTGGACACACTAGCGAAAGCAGTCACTGAATGAACAATTTGCGTGCAAGTTATCACATTCTCTTTGGCTCAATATACCACATTATCAAGCCATCTGAATTTGCTCTTACAAATACCGTCTTCTAACACATGCAATATTATTAAACATATTCCGTCTCAAGCACAATAGCAACCAAATCATTGCTGACATGGTCTTGAATGTTTCTTACCTTCTGCGCAAAGTTTCCTGTAATAAATAACTTCATTTACGCTTCTCCTTCAGTTCACCTTCTACTTCGTCGTTCACTGATCACAAGCAAGCACGATCGGTGAAATGTTCCCATTTGGTCAAAACGCGCTATCGCCAACGTGGGAATTGCTTGTTCATGAAGGGGAAAAGTGGCAAAAGTGGTCGAAAACGTAGCAATTTTTCCGATAACAAAGCAATCGACAACAATATCTTACTTTCATTATCATGTCTCGTGTGAAGTAAGATAATAGGGATCTGTTCAACTTTCCGTTAGCTAGCTTAGGTGCCGTACGATTCGCCACTTGTTTTGAATTGATGATGACTTAATTGGGTACGCTACTTAAGCTCTTCACTTGGGAGGCATAATTAAGCACTATTGGCCTACCTTGGATAGACAAAATACTAATAAGAATCTAATGCATAGGACCACATAAATAGGCAATGTTTTCAACATCTACTCCCCTTCTCTCTCCCACTCCCTCCCTGCCACTTATAAAAATACTTCCGATGAATTCCATGATCGTCTTTGTAATGGTTGCAGAATGCAAAATGCGTGACTACTAGGTCCACCCATAAGCACCAGATGGGCTGAAACACATATCGACAGTCTATGTGGGATTGTATAAAATTGCGCAGGTTAGCTTTGTCCTAGTCATCTCTCAGACAGTGACACTGCCTGAGACCCACACGTATCCATCACTGTCCTGAACACAAACCCACCTCCACCCTTCCTCATGTGGTTGACAAAGGTCTTGCA